CATTGAGCAATGAACCGTGAAAATGAGGTCAAGGTCAAATAAAACCTGCCAGACTGACATGTACATCGTTAAATATTTCCATACACCAGATATAGTTTATCTACTGCATACAGTATTAGAAAAACAGACCAAAAACACAAAAAATTTACATTGAGCAATGAACCGTGAAAATGAGGTCAAGGTCAAATAAAACCTGCCAGACTGACATGAACATCGTAAAATATTTCCATACACCAAATATAGTTGACCTACTGCATACAGTATTAGAAAAGCAGACCAAAACACAAATATTTTACATTGAGCAATGAACCGTGAAAATGAGGTCAAGGTCAAATAAAACCTGCCAGACTGGCATGTACATCGTAAAATATTTCCATACATCAAATATAGTTGACAGATTGCATACAGTATTAGAAAACAGGCCAACACACAAAAACTTAACATTGAGCAAGAACTGTTAAAATAAGGTAAAGGTCAAATAAAACCTGCCAGACTGACATGTACATCGTAAAATATTTCCATACACCAAATATAGTTGACCTCCTGCATACAGTATTAGAAAAACAGACCAAAACACAAACATTTTACATTGAGCAATGAACCGTGAAAATGAGGTCAAGGTCAAATAAAACCTGCCAGACTGACATGTACATCGTAACATATTTCCATACATCAAATATAGTTGACCTATTGCATACAGTATTAGAAAAACAGATCAAAACACAAAAACTAAGCTATTACCACTGAACCATGAAAATAAGGTCAAGTTCAGATGACACCTGCCAGTTGGACATGTACACCTTACAATCATTAGGCGATATATGAAAATCTGTAACCAGTAAAGCCAGAAAGTTAAGTGAAGCGCCACTTTTCTGTTTTATAACATCGCATTTATATTGATTCCTTATCTTTCGTCAAAAGAACTTTGCAGTTACAGCTCTTTTCATAATGCTAGCAAGGCAAAGGTTTGTTTGGCTTGCTTGCTTTGTTTGTATCAATGTTTGCCCAAGCATTGTAATTAAGATTGACACCTGAAAACAACATAAAAAGGAGGATTTAAACTTGTATACATTATATCTAAATTTGATTGGACATTATCAAATAATCAAATTTACCATTACACAGATTTAACTCCGCCTACTTATATTGTTTGCAGATGTCAATCTTAATTACAATGCTTGAGCAAACATTGATACAAAAAAAGCAAGCAAGCCAAACAAACCTTTGTCTTGCTAGCATTATGAAAAGAGCTGTAAAAGTCACTATCAATTATTAATATTTGGTAGCGTAGTCAACACATCTGTTTACTTGACAACAACGAATATCTAATTCGGCAAACATGCAACTCTTCAAGCTAACTTCTTTTTTTTTTAAATATGAATAGCCTTACTTTGATAATGAAATAAAGAAATTGCTATAACTTCCTTTAATTTTCTTTCTACAAATGCAAGAAAAGCAGGTTCGTTTTAACTTAAGAAACTTTTATCGTTTTGACTAGGTTTCATAAAAAAATGAGGCGATGTGGTATGACTGCCAATGGGACAACTATACACAAGAGTTGAAATGAAGTGGTAGTAAGCATTTTGTTTTTTACACATCTGTGCTGGGTGAGATAAACATATATATAATTCCAAATTAACAAAAAACTTCAAACGACACTATATTTATATACAACACATTTAGTGTATTAACACTAAACATTATAGATTTTTGAAAGTCCATGCAGTATGAGTTTCGTTTCTTAAAGTGTTGATTATTATCAATTATTGCTGAGATAGTCCAGGTTATTGTAGATCTGTGAAGTAATAGACATCTATAGGACATAAATCATCAGAAATCTTATTTATTTGTATTATTATTTTCTGGTGGTAAGTATACAACATATATAAAAAGAATTCAATTGAATGCTTTTGGGAAATGTGTTATTCATGCTATTAAATATTACTATGTTTACCCTGTGCTAATACAATGTTTAAACCAATATATATATATATATATATATATATATCTATATTTTGACAAGTTATATTTTTTTTCATTTAATATTACTTTTTGTTTATTTTTGTATTGAGAATATGAAATTTGAGTTTCATTTAGATATCACAAAAAATTCTTTTCTAATATAGACAATAAATTGTGTTATCGCATGGTAAAAAGACGAAGGGTTTGGTAAAATCACTTACTAGAAAAGCTAAATGCAAAGATGTTCGGAATTATGTATGAATGTCTGTTCTTATACATTTTTTTCTCTCTGAAATATTTGTTTTATGTGACTTAAAATCTTATTTATTAGCGTTAATCATTCTATCACCATGTTGGTAATATAAATCGTAAAATAAGTCAGGACAACGACGATACGTTTATTTCGGTTATTGTAGTATTTTTTCTTTAAGAACACCATGGTTGATGTAGACCATATTTCTATACCTCGGTCAGTACAAGTACAAGCGGTATGATGCAGCTCTGCGGTCTCCAGTGATAACTATGAATTTTTTATGTATTCTTTGTTTTTGAACCACGCCTTCATATCGATTAAAAATAATAATTTCTACAAGTTTTCCTCAATATTTTTGAATTGAACGTATAGATATCTGCCAATCTGTTACGTCTTCTTTGTGTGTTCACTACGTGGACAGTAAAGTCGATTTGAGTGAAGCACCACTTTTCTTTTTTTTCTTTTACATCGCATTTATATTAATTAAAATGTGAAAATAACACATTATGAATTGTGAGCGTCCGAAGCGCTTTTCTAGATATGATTTCATCGGGAAAGCTCAAACCGAAAATTTGAAAGCCAAGGGTGTATAAATACCTGACTATGCGAGGAGCTACATGATCAAAATGAAACTAGAAATGAGAGTCAAATTCACATACTATGGTCAACTGTGCAAGAGAGAAAAACGTACTATCAATTATTCATATTTGATAGTGAAGTAAACAATCACACCACATCTTCTTATATCTAACAACCAATTACTCTGACAAAATGAATATCGTATTCTGCAAACTTGCAACTTTTCATTTAACATTTTTATAACAGAATGGTCTTACTTTGATAATGAATTAAATAAATTACTCTACATTTCTTTAATGTTCTTTCTATATAAAAAAAGCAAAGAAGATTTGTTTTGACTTCAGAAACTTGTAACGTTTCGACTAGCTTTCAATATAAAAATAAAGAGATGTGGTATGATTGCCAATGAGGCAACTATCCACCAAAGTTCAAATGAAGTGGATTTAAGCAATTATATGCAACTGTACGGCTTTCAACAATGAGAAATACCCATACCGTATGGTCGGCTTTAAAAGGCCCCGATATGAAAAATATGAAAAATTCAATTGAGAAGACTAACGATCTAATTTATAACAAAACAGTTTACGAAAAACAAATATGACGGACATGAACCAACGACAACCACTGAACTACAGGCTCCTGGCTTTGGACAGGCACATAAAGAATGTGGCGGGGTTAAACATGTTCTTGAGCGCTTAACCCTCCCCTAACCTGGGACAGTGGTGTAACAGTACAACATAAGAAAAAACTATAGAAATCAGTTGAAAAGGCTTAACTAATCAGATGGATACAAATACAAATACATCTAACAAAAACACAGAGTGGTCGTGGACGGGTACTTTTACATCCCAACCACAAAAAGACACTAAGTACAGATCTGAGAGTACTTACAGTAACTGACAGGTAGTTCAAAGCCAACAACAACTAATAAAAAAAATCATGTACCTTAGACTAAAATATCAATCAGTACACATCCAACAGCCAATGGATTAAGTGTAAAAACGCCGTTAACAGTCAGAGAAAACATGAATTGGTGCAATGCCAAATTATAGGTATCGACAGATTGTAGTACCGTGAAAATACATATGTGTAACATTTATAAAAAAGAAGATGTGGTATGATTGCCAATGAGACCAGTCTCCACAAGAGACCAAATGACACAGAAATTAACAACTATAGGTCACCGTACGGCCTTCAACAATGAGCAAAGCCCATACCGCACAGTCAGCTATAAAAGGCCCCGAAATGACAATGTAAAACAATTCAAACGAGAAAACTAACGGCCTAATTTATGTACAAAAAATGAACGGTTGGTTTTAATTTACTGATAACAAAATCAATATTCATACTAATAGAAACAATATTAAAAGATTTAATTACAGTGTTGACTAGGTAACCTTTTAGAATAAGCTTATTTAAAGGATTGATAAGTTTACCCGGATCGTTTCTAAATTTCCGGGCTCCGTTTACAACATCACCGTAAAATTTAGGATGTGCTATTCTCTTTGAAATATGTTTTCTAAAGGTACAGCAAAACTTGTAGACCAAATCTTTGTATCTATGGAAGAATTTATAGTCAAGGTTTTAAGTAATTTACGAAAATGAAATCCCTGACTTAATAATTTACTAGTAATATATAGATTTCGCTCACTGAAATCCAAAACGTCACTACAGACACGAGCATAGTGAACGAGTTGGGAAATATAAACACCGTAAGACGGTGCCAAAGGAACATTACCGCCCAAAAAGGGAAAACTAACAATAGGGAAAGAAAAATCATCCCTTTTGTCGTAAATTTTTGTGTAGAGTTTCTGGTGTAATACTGAAATATAAATCTAGGAAAGGACAGTTATTGCTGTTAATATTTGATTTATCTAAAGTAATTTCCTTTGGGTAAATTTCAGCAGTATATTTAGAGAATGTTTGATTATTTAACGGAAAAATATCAGCAAGATAACGGTAAGTGTTGTTAAATCTATAAATTAAATGGAATTTAAACGGTTCAGTCTGTATCAACCTTCATCACCCATATTAGACAGGAATAACGTATTTACAAGGGGTTTAAAGTTATTCTTGAAGAATTTTGCCAAGTTTTATCATGCGAGTTGGTTTGCGGAACCTTGAAACTTTAAACGACATTATACTTATCTACAACACATTTAGTCTATTTAACTTTATATGAATAATTCTTTTTTGGGAAGTCCTGTTTCGTTTCTAATTTCATTGCTTATTTTGAATTATAGCTGAGATAGTCAATGTCATTGTAGTGATAGACTGAAATCGTGTTGGACATAACATACTAAAAATCTTATTTATAAGTATTATCATTTTCTGGTGGTAAGTAAATTTTGTGTAGAGTTTAAAGTGTAATACTGAAATATCTCAATCTAGGAAAGGACAGTTATTGCTGTTAATATTTGATTTATCTCAAGTAAGTTCCTTTGGGTAAATTTCAGCAGTACATTTAGAGACTTTTTTATTATTTAACGAAAAAATATCAGCAAGGTAACGGTAAGTGTTGTTGAATCTATAAATTAAATGGAATTTAAACGGTTCAGTCTGTATCAACCTTCATCACCCATATTAGACAGGAATAACGTATTTACAAGGGGTTTAAAGTTATTCTTGAAGAATTTTGCCAAGTTTTATCATGCGAATTGGTTTGCGGAAGCGTGAAACTTTAAACGACACTATACTTATCTACAACACATTTAGTCTATTTAACTTTATATAAATAATACTTTTTTAGGAAGTCCTGTTTCGTTTCTAATTTCATTGCTTATTTTGAATTATAGCTGAGATAGTCAATGTCATTGTAGTAATAGACTGAAATCGTGTTGGATATAACATACTAGAAATCTTATTTATAAGTATTATCATTTTCTGGTGGTAAGTAACATAACATATGCAAAAAGAAGTTCATTGAATGTTGAAAACTTGTTATTCGTAAAAGCGAAAATAATAATCGGCATTATTCTAACGAATTTGTGTTTGCTCTGTTATACTTATTATATTTTTGCTTTAAATCCTAGTTATATGCATTTCCGTAGAAACAGATCAAGAAATGTGACATTTAAGACAATAACAAATTCGTTTGTTATTAAATTGAAAAAAATCGCTTCAAATTTAAAAAAAAAAAACGGCGAAAGTCTTAACATAAATATAACTCGAGAGTAAGTTTAATATGTTTTCCAAATATCAAATTAGAAGTTTACCAGTAAGATACTTATCGTGGTAACAATTTTGACTTAACAGTCTTTCTTTCTTGACGCGCAATGTCAGGATCTTGGACAGAAAAGAAATGACGAAACAGTTAGTTGCAGTTTCTTGGTTATCCTGTATTTTACATGGGGTCCTTGATATAGCCAATATACAAGATATAAAAAATAAATGGAAACAAACATTACAAATAATAATACAAATAATTCAACATTTTATAAACAGTAAATTTCCAAAAAAAATCAACGTATGAATGATATTGCATGTCAACACAAAAGTGCTGACTACTGGGCTGTTGATACACGCGGAGACGGAACGTTCACCAGCAGTGTTATCTACTTCATCAACGATACCAGACTTATAATTAGGTCCGTCGGTCGCACGTTTCGCCGTATCATTTAAAATGAAATTCATGCTGAAAACATCAAAATAATCACAATGTTGTGGTGAAAGGTGATATCTCATGGTCCTCAGTTCAGAGAATCCGAACACATCAATTGAAACCATGACTTCAAAATAATTATGGATTCCATTGAGAACTACGCATGGGCGTAACGAGAAGAAGTTGAACTGGACACTTTGTCAAAATGGACCAACACAATCAGGTATCTGATAAAATATCGAATTCATAAGTTGAAAAACTGTGTGAATGATCGACCAAATATAAAAATAAGAAGATGTGGTATGATTGCCAATGAGACAACTCTCCACAAGAGACCAAATGACACAGAAATTAACAACTATAGGTCACCGTACGGCCTTCAAAGTCCTTTTTAAGAGACAAAAAAAGCTGCGAAATGTCTATCATCTCTTCACGATAAATATGTTGTTGTTCCTGCGGACAAAGCTTCAAATAATATTTTCTTTGTATGTAAATAGAACTACGAAGAGTGTCTTGTAAAAGAATTAGGAATAAATTAGCACTCAGGTAATCCCACATACAAAAACATATCATTTGACAAGGATGAGATTTTGGCGAATCATAAGTTCTTCATGGCTTCAATGAACATTACTTTGAACAGCAAATCTGAGGACTTACCTTGTTTGTATTGGATACCATAGCTTCCGTACAAACAACGGTACGTTGCCGGCTCATCTGCATGTTCTACAAAGGAATTGTCCATTAGATTGATAAAAATTCTGTCCGCAGTGAAAGAGGGTCTTCATATATACTGTGAAACTGTTTACTCGCGTAGGGATATTAACCATGTGTGGAGTCTATAAAACTCTAAAGAACTTCTGGATGATTTTAAATCTCGATCTTTCTCTGAAATTAATTCTATTAACACTTTTGATTTTTCGACCCTGTAAACCACCATTCTCCATGTGAAATTGAAAAATCGTCTTAAAGAAATAATACACAATGCTTTCAATATAAAAATGGTAGCATACGCTATAAATTTATTGCTTTTGGATACCATACGTCATATTTTGTTAATATTGAACAAAAAAGTAAAACATTCTTAACAGAGGAACAAGTCATCAGTATGCTGGAGTTTCTTATTGACAACATATTTGTTAAATTTGGAGGTAGACTTTTTCAACACAATATAAAGCATTGTGGAACTTGTTCGCTGTGCTCACTAGACAAAAAACTTCATATTGTGACTCGCAGCTGATATTTTACAATATCAATATACAGAAAACCTAATAATCAGTACTTAAAAGTAGGGAGTTTTCCCTTACACCATGTGAACGTGATCTAATTGTCACTATTATAGTAGTGATGTTTTATAAAGTGATAAAACATTGGAGATGACAGAACCCTGATAACTGTCAAATATTTTGCCTTCTATTTACTGTTTTTTTTTACTGCAGTTTCCTTGAATGTATACCCCACATCTCTTTTCATTCATAATAGCGGACTGTAAATAACCGAGGGTATCATAAGCTCAGTAGTTAGTTCGGTATTGCAGTGCTTAATATCATACTTTTATCAAATTCCCGGTTAATCCTTGGAGAGAAATTATTTAGAAACAAATATCTTTGATGAGCTTGTTTGGAACAGTTACAGATTTACAAGATTTTATATTCAGTTTGAATTTTTTTGCGTCTATTTTCTGAAACATAATTGAATGAATGCTTTTAAAATAAATGTACTTTAGTATAAAAAGTGTTCTTAAAATTGCTTTAGAAACTCAACGAAGATTTCAGATTAAATTCATAAAATCTTTATAACCAACAGATTTAAAAAAAGAATATATGTTGTTTTTACATCAATTTCCTTTTGATTGAACTATTATTTAAATAATCATTTTTGGAGACCGACGAAAATAAGCAACGTCGTTTGTTTCTGGGTCCTATTTGTTTATAATGTTTTGCGGGAACTTCGTTATGCCTATTTCGGCTCTTTGTGGTACTTTCCTCACCAAACGCACCTCTTTGGTTGATGTATACTCACAAAAAAACAAAGTCAATTATCCTATGCATTTTACATTATTATAACAAAAATTTATTTGGCAACAACATATCTTTTATTTGAAGAAAAATCTATGGATAAGGAATTGAGATTAAATTGTTTGATTCAATCCGCAATATTAATATGGGCATAGGTCAGAATAAGGGTTTAATGTAAGTACCGTTGTACTTATCTTTGTCACAATAATAATCGTGTGTCTTGTATTTTGACAAGGTAAAAGGCATGGAGCCAAATAATTTACTTCTATTGTATGGTATGAATGAAATGAACTGACATTTCAATTCTCAAGGCTGTAAAGGTATTTTCCGAGCTAATAAATCTACCTAGATGGCAACATATATTAGTAATATGCGCGATACAGGATTATTTCCGATCGCTAAAAATGAAAAAAATATAAGTCAATAGATAGACACATTGAACATTGTAAAACAAGAAAAGATTATTTTTCAATTTGCAATCAGGAGTTATTGTGTATGACACAAAAACAACATAAAAAAGATCCCGAATGCCTACAAAATGAAATAAGTATAGATTTAGTACACAGTTGCAGAAGGATGTATCTGAAATATTTTATGTGAAATATTTTAGCAATAAAAAGTAAAGTTCTGTTTGGTACAAAAGGTTTTAATAAGAGTTGATCATTCAAGCATAATCCAAAAAGATCCGGAATGCCTAAAAGAAATTAAAATAAGTAAAGATTTTATAAACAATCCGGATATCAATTGCTGATATTATTAGTAAATAAAATAACTGTCATTTCTTTGTATTTTTGTTTAGTATAACATGATTTAGAAAGAATTATTCAGTCCAATTTATTATCTATTCAATGAGCAGTCACAAGGAAATTATCAACAAAAAGAAAAAGTACTCTAGAATAATTAAATAATAAGATTTTTGATTCGACATAATCGAAAATACACATATATGATGGAAGTATACTTTTATGAATTGTCGGAATATGCAAAATTGCAAAATTTTGGTACAAAAAAAATCAAGTCAAAAACCTTTGGTGTTGCCATGCAAAGAAAATTAATACAAACTACTATAGGAAAATCAATCATTATTACTGCAGAGAAGTACGCAATGAAACAATAGTTTGTTAAATTTGCAAATCCAACACCAACAACCAACATCTGACTCCTCCGAAATAAAAGACATACAATCAAAGACAAACAACAATAACAAAGAAAGCATTCGAACGACTTATTCAAGGAAAATAAGAAGATTTCAAAGTTATACTGAATGACAGACAACATCATATAAGTTTTATTTTTAAACGAGACTATATTTGCATTCATTACATTTGGTTAATTAAAACTTACACGAAGTATAGATTTTTGGTAAGCCAAGTTTGAGTTTCGTTTCTAATTTTATTGGTTATTATCAATTATAACTGAGATCATCAATGTCATTGCGGATCGATGACGTGATAGACATATACAGGACATATATCACCAGAAATCTGCTACCTTTGTTTTATCATTTTCTGGTTGTATGTAACATAACATATATAAAAAGAAGTTAATGAATGCTTTGGAAAATGTGTTATTCAAAAAAATGAATATATTTGCTCTGGTCAAACTTTTATTCTGCTCTGCTATATTTGTTTTTATCTGGCTTCACATCTTAGTTATAAGTATTTCTGTAGAAGCAAAACGAGAAAGTAGATAATATGTCTATACCTCAATCAACTCTAAGGGTACGACCGTGTATGATTAAGCTGTGAAGTATCCAGTGAAGACTCTGATTTTGATATATGTATTCTTCGCATTTCTATCCATGCCTTTATATCGATTAAAAATAATAATTTTTGCAAGTTCCCCTCAATATTTTTGAATTGAAAGAACAGATATCTAAAAAATCTGTAACCTGTACTTTGTGTGTTCGCTACGTAAATAGTAAAGCCACTATACAGTTCAGTCAAGCACCATTTTTCTCGTTTTTATAACATTACATTTATATCAATTCATTTCTTTCATCAAAAGAACTTTTGCAGTTAAAATATGAAAATAAGACTTTATGAATTTAGTGCGTCCGAAGTTCTTATCTGGATGAGCCGTCATCAAGAACTCTTAAACCTAAAGTTTAAAAGCCAAGGATGTATAAATACGTGTGGAGCTATATGACCAAAAGGGACTTAAAAGGAATAGTAAAATTCCCATAGTATGATCAACTGTGCCTGACGGAAAAGTAGTATCAATTATTCATATTTGATAGTGTAGTAAACACATCCGATTACTTTGACAAAAATGAATATCATATTCTGCAAAAATTCAACTTTTCCAACGAAATTTTTTAACAAGTAAGAATGGTTTTAATTTAACTATGAAGTAAAGAAAATACTCTATATTCCATTAATGTTCTTTCTATAAATACGAGCAAAGTAGATTCGTTTTGACTTCAGAAACCTTTATCGCTTCATCACCCATTTTTGGCAAGAATAACGTATCTATCGATGATTCTCAGAATACTCTTGAAAAAAATACGAGTTTGTATTTTTGCCAAGTTTTATCATGTCAGTTGATTTATGGAAGCGTGGAACTTTAAACGAAATATACTTATCTACAACACATTTGGTCTATTTAACTTTATATAAAGGTTAGATTTTTGGGAAGTCCTATTTGAGTTTCGTTTTTAATTTTATTGCGTATTTTTAATTATAGATGAGATAGTCAATGTCATCGCGGATTGGTGAAGAGATGGGTTGAAATCATGTAGGACATAACATACCAGAATTCTGATATACTAGTATTATTATTTTCTGGTGGTAAGTAACATAACATATACAAAAAGAAGTTAATTGAATGTTTTTGAAAAACTTTTTATTCATAAAAACGGAAATATTACTGTGCATGATTTGCCTACCCTAATAAGTTTTTGTTTGCTTCGCAATATTTGTTATTTTTTGGCTTGAAATTCTAGTTATATGCATTTCTGTAGAAAGAGAACGAGAAATATGACATTTAAGACAATTTTGAAGAGAATTTGTTCTGAAGTGGAAAAAATAATTTCCGCTTCAAATTGAAAAAAAAAACAAAGTGTGAAAGTCTAAATATAATTACGACCGGTGAGTAGGTTTAGTATGGTTTCCAATCATCAAATTTGAAATCTATTAGTAAAAACCTTTATCTGGTACACAATTCGAGGTCTAGCTTTCATTAGGCGTTTCGACTACATCATGACAGTAGGAAGGCCAAATCAAATACAAAGTTGATGAGCAATAAAAAACAAAACATCAGAATAGTTGTTCTAAAAAGCGACCGAGGCAATGTACGCCTGAAAGTAAAACAAATCTTAGCATTACAAATAGTTCAACATGATATAAACAGTAAAAAAAAACCAACAAAGAATCAACGTATGAATGATATTGCATGTCAACACAAAAGTGCTTACTACTGGGCTGGCGATACACTCCGAGACGAAACGTCTACCAGCAGTGTTATCGACTTCTTCAAAGATACCAGATTTATTATTTGGGACGCCAATTGCGCGTTTCGTCGTATTATTTGGAATAAATTCATGATGAAAACATCAAAATAAGCACAATAGTGTATAGCAACCACGCGATATAAAGCTGGGTAATGTAATGTAACTTTTGTTTCAATTAATTTCAATTAAACGGAATTTATCTGGCGAAAATATATCGCTTTTAAAATCTGGTGATTTTGAACCGGTTACACGTGTATTATATATACTGTAATGATATTCTTAGACTATCAATGAAATAACATTTAAAAAAATTAACATTGCAGATGCATCTGCCGAAAATGTTTTTCATTATTTTTGTTCAATTTTAACATGCGGTAATTGTAGTTCATGACATGAAATGGTCATTTTATATAAAGGAGTAGAGATTTTTTCCTTACAACATGTGAACGTGATCTAATTATCACTATTAGTATAACCTTTATAATAATAATGAAATATTAGACATGACAGAACAGTAGTCAAGTATTTAGATCCTTCTATCTACTTGTTATTTTTATTTGTTTCAGCAGTTTCCTTGATTGTATATTCCACATCTCTTTTTATTCATTTTAGCGTACTTATAGTAACCGAGGGTATCATCAGCTCAGTAGTCAGATCGGTATTGAAGTGTTAATTAATAGCATACTATTCTCTAATTCCCTGTTAATACTTTAGGAAATTATAAAGAAATAAAGGTTCAAACTTCCTTAGACAAAGTTGATATATCTGGCAATTACTTTTATGTCCATTATCGTTAAATGGTCTGGACGTTTTTTATGTACATCAATGGCATGTGCATGTTTGTGTTTGAGCGTTCCTGATGAAGGTGAATCCAGAAAAACGATCAGGACGCACGAAATGAAGTGTTTTTTTTTTTAATTTAATAAACGTAATGGAATTTGGGATCATTAATTCTCTGCAACTTCGTACTTTATTTGGCCTTTAACTTTTTTATTTAAGGGTCACTGATGAGTCTTTTGAAGACGAATAGCGCGTCTGGCGTACAAAATTATGAGCCTGGTATCTTTGATAAGCTTGTTTTGGAACAGTCACAGATTGTTACAAGATTTTGTATTCGGTTTTAAAAAATTTTGCGTTTATTTTCTGAAACATATTTGAATGAATGTTTTTAATATAAATGTACATTCGTATATAAAAAGTGTTCTTAAAATTGTCTTAGAAACTAATCGAAGATACCAGATTAAATTCATAAAATCTCTATAACCAATCTGCAGATTAAAAAAAATGATATGTTGTTTTTACACCAATTTCCTTTTGATTGAACTATTATTGAAATAATCATTTTTTTGAGACCGATGAAAATAGGAAAGTTTTTTGTTTCTGAATCCGGTTTTAAATGTATTACGGAAACTTTGTTACGCTTATTTCGGCTCTTTGTGGTATTTTCCTCACCAAAACACAACTTTGGCTGACGTATACTCAGAAAACGAAGTCAATTATCCTGTACATATTACATTATTATAACGAAAATTTATCTGGCAACAACAGATTTTTTTTTATAGAAAAATCTATGGACAAGAAATTAAGATTTCATTGCTTGATTCGATCCACAACGTGGGTATGGGCATAGGTCAGAATACAAGGTTTAGTGTAAGTACCATTGTACGTATATTTGTCACAATAACAATTGTGTGTCCTGTATTTTGACATGGTAAAAGGCATGGAGCCAAATAATTTACGTCTATTGTATGGTATGAATGGGACGAACTGACATTTCAATTCTCAAGTCTATATAGGTATGTTCGGAGCTAATATTCCTACATAGATGGCAACATAGAATTGTAATATGCGCGATACAGGATTATTTCCGATCGCTAAAAATGAAAAAAAAAATAACGTCAATATATAGTCACATTAATAAAGAATTGATTATTTTCAATTTGCAATCGGGAATTACCGTTAATGACACGAAAAAACAACATAAAAAAGATCGGGAATGCCTAAAAAATTAAATAAGTATAGATTTGGTACACAGTTGCAGAATTAAAATCAGGTAGTTCAAATGTTTTAGGTGAAACAGTTCTAGCAATAAAAATGAAACTGTAATTTTGGTTATTCTGTTTGATACAACGGGTTTTCAGAAGAAATGATCAGTCAACTATAACCCAAAAACACCCGGAATGCCTCAAAGAAATTAAAATAAATAAAGATCTGGAAAACAATTTTATAATTAAATCCGGTTGCTGATATTAATAGAAAATAAATTTGACTATTGTCATTTTTGTATTTCTGTTTGGTACAACATGATTAAAAAAAAGAAGAATTGGTCAGTCCAATTGAGTAAAACTATTCAATAAGCAGTAGACAAGAAATTATCAGCAAGGAACAAAAGTACTTTAGAATACATTAAATATTTAAATTTTGATTCTATATAATCAAAAATACACAAATATGATAGCATGAGACTTTTCTGCATTATTGGAATATGCAACATTGCTAAATTTTGATTCAAATCAAATCAAGTCAAATAACTTTTATTTTGCAATGCAAAACAAAAAAATAGAATAAAAACTACTATGGAAAAATCAATCATTATTACTGCAGAGAAGTAAACAATAAAATGATAGTTTGCGAATACAACAACTAACACCCGAATCCTCCGAAAAAAAACCCTTCAGACATACAAACAAAGACAACCAACAAGGTACAAAGAAAATTTTCGAACGATAACTTGAAGGAAAATAAGAAGATTTCAAAGGGAGTTATATAAAAAAAAGTTATACTAAATGACAGACAACAACGTTCCTAACGAAAAAAAAGACATTATAACCCGAACAACAAACCTTATTCTTACATCAAAATGCACTGATTTTTTAAGAAGAATGACCCATCTAACGTGTTCTTATTTTGTGCTGTTCCAGGTTAGGGAAAATTTTCTTTTTCTTTTCCAAGCCAGGAGCTTGTAGTCCAGTTGATGTCATCGGTTGTCGTGATAACTGTTTTTCGTTTAGTGTTATTACTTAAATCAGGCCATTAGTTTCCCCTTTTTAGCTCACCTGGACTTTTCTCATCACTTGGTGTCCGTCGTCCGTCGTCGTCCGTCGTCCGTTAACTTTTACAAAAATCTTCTCCTCTGAAACTACTGAACCAAATTTAACAAAACTTTGCCACAAACATCATTGGGGTATCTAATTTAAAAAAATGTGTCCGATGACCCCGCCTGCCAACCAAGATGGCCGACATGGCTAAAAATAGAACATAGGGGTAAAATGCAAGTTTTGTCTCTTATTTTGAAAACCGTGTTAAATAGAGAAAATCTGACATGAGCAAAAATGTTCAGAATGTTGAGCTCTACCAATTGTCGATATACGCCAAAACTGTCAGACGACTTCTTATAGGAGTTATTCGGTTTAAATGACAAAATTTTACCATTTTTTTCATTTTTGCCTATTATCTTGAAAACTATAATAGATAGAGAGAAACTTTAAATTGCAAAAATGATCAGCAAGACAAGATTGAAAAATAAGTTTTGCATCTTCGAAATCGTCAAACGTCTCCTTATTAGAGTTATTGCCCTTTGATGACGATTTTTATCATTTTTTTTTGCGTTTTTCCTTTAAAGTTATAATAGATAAATAGACACTTTAAATCACAAAAAAATATCAGCAAGGCAAGATCTACAAACAAGTAAAATTTTGCTGATATACCTAGTAGACTGTCACTCTTTATAGGAATGCTTGTCCTTAAATTTTTAGGGTTTTTTTAAACTCTTTTATGTTTTGAGCAAAAACTAAAGAAGATAGGGAGAAACTAAACAGACTAAATGATAGCAATACAAGATCAACAAAACAGAGATTTTTGTCATGAATTCTATTCTCGTCTACAATGTTGGAGAGTGTCCTTTGTTGAATATGCACATAGACCAAGGTGACCGACATAGGCTCTTTAGAGCCTCTAGTTACTGTTTTAAATTTTGTTTCCAGTTGCTTTAAATAGCTTACTTTACGATATGGGTTTTGCTCATATTGGCAGGCCGCACGTCGACCTATAGTTTACATTCTTGTCCTTTGGTCTTTAGTGGGTATAGGTTTTAATAGTAATTATGCAAATGATCTTCTTGTTTTATATATATTGTAATAAAACTTTTTCTTATGTATAGGTTACGTATAATAATTATGTTAATGCTACTTCAAAAGTTTAATGTATAATATAATCTTTATTCTAACGTATATTGTCGCTCGTTTTATTTCTCTGTTGTTAACTGTAACAAATATAAACGTGTTTTTCTGGGTTTTTTTTAAAGATTTAAACTTTGAAAAAAAAACAAATAGGGAGCTC